GAGAATCACTCGCAATTCAGCGTCGGAAGCGTCTCGACTATCAGCGGCTTGCGCCCGCCTCCCAGCTCAGGTTGGAGGTTGAACATAGCAAAACCCTCCAGTTGGTTTTAATGGTTTGCCTCCTCGTCACTGATTTGTCGAGAACATATTCTGCTCGTGCTCATGCCTTGAACAGATTTGTAAACATTTGGAGGGAAGCTGTATAGAGATGGACATCACGATTATGAAGGACTTATTTGTACTCATCCAGAACCGCCAAGTGGTTGGATTTTTGGCCACCTCCTGGTATCCGGAGCACAAAAATGTTACGGCAGCTGTGGATTTGAACCAAGTTAACTTTGTCAGTTAAGGGTGTGAAATTGAAGCTGGTAATTCAAGCTTTACAAAAATACCTTTTTAAGTTGAAAAGTGTTGCTATAAATAGCCAAAAAAACTGCTCGGAGACAGCCATCTCACTCCGGCAAAAACACAAGGACACCAGAGTAAGATGAACCCGTAACTTTGGTCCGGCAAATTACGGAGGAGGGTTTATTAAAACAAAAACATTATTAAATTGCAACCTGAATTAACATATCTTGCAATGCATCGGTAAAAGCGCATCAAAATCCGTTAATATATTGCATTATCCCCCGGAGTCAGCAGAGTGACAGCTGCGATCCCTTTTGGCCGGCCTGCACGGGTCTGTCAGGCATGGTACTCACGCTGGCTCGGTGATCGGTGAAGAGTGCTGCCTGTCTCTATTGTTCAGGTGGAACGTGCAGAGCCTTGTGTGTTGACTGAGAGTTGGAACGAGGAGGGCATAAATGCTTAGCTGTTTTTTAAAACCAGTTAGCTGATGGAGCGTGAGCACCGTGACCATGGTGGAGTGTAAGTAGCGTGATCGTGGTGGAGCATGAGTACGTGGTCGTCTGTGGCATGTTAATTTGCATTTTTTGTGTACCATTTTTCTCTGGCTGTGCGCACCATACCCATCCTCCATTTTGGAGGGTGTATAAGCCCGGTGTGCGGCCACCCTCCATTTTGGAGTGTATAAGCCCGATGGGTAATTACTCTCCATTTTGGAGGGTGTATGCAGAGCCTTTCATAAATTGCAAACCCATGTATATGCACATAAGTTGCATAGTACAGAGTAAGAGACTGTGTTGTTTCAGTGTGCCATGTTTTATACTGATGCTTCCTCTCATTTAAAGTGTTTTTACATGAATTCCTGTACATGAAAAGTGGGGTTTTTGTTGAGAACCACCTATTGTACTGTTATCTCTCAAAGATAACATAAATAAAACTGCAATGATCTGCGGCACTTGGAAAATTTTGTATTCCACTATAGAAAATTTGTACTCCACTACCAGGAAAATTTTTAGATTTTTCAACACTGGTTTGTCAAGCCTTATCTGCCAATGAGGTTTCTTGGAAAATTTAGCAACCTGTCCACCTGAGATGAAACTTTGTCCAGTTTCAATTGCAAATCTGAAAATAGTAGTTGGCTGCAGGTGGCGAGGCAAACATTTACATGTGCCTACAAGTAATCTATTGTGGTTCATAAGTGATGCAATAATTGCTGGCAAAAATGTCATCCTGCACTTAAGAATTAGCTCCAGCATTACCTAAGCTGGTTGTTGCAGCAAACAATATGTTTTCTGGATAGGAGCCATGCTTAAACCCCACAAAGCCATAGTAAGCTCAATAAATAGAAAAGCTAGCTGTGATGATTCATTGACAATGACAAAATATAAATACCATGACTGGCAAAAAATAATGGAACAAAATGAATAACAATATGTCACAGCATTTTTCTGCATTTGAGCTTGCTTGCATTCTCAAAACCAGAGATATTTCAACTCAAACCAGCTTCATTTAAAGTTGTGTCCATACAGTGGCATTGTTGAGATGTAAACAAGAAATGGAAAAATGTGGGAGCTAGCCTGCCTTACCATGGCAATGCCCAGACTTTGTCAAATACATCACTCGCATCATATAATAATTATAATGAGTTTTATGTCTCACTGACTGTTTCTGCTATTTCAACACAGACATTCATCATGTAAGAATGACATCAGGCATGGAGCAGCAGGGTCAGACTATAAAAATCCATCCACTGTGCTAGACACTTGCACAACATCTCTGCACTGCACCTCATGCTTGTGTACAGCAAACACAGACTATGCCAGGTTGTACAAAACTTACAAACCATGCATGGAAAAATGTGTTTTGAGTACTTCTACCTGATACTGCCTTTGTTACACCATAATCTATTGGAACATTGGCAACCTATGCACTAGAATCAGTGCCAACGTCGCGCAAAACTGGACTGTCCCAACGGCTCAGTTAGTTAAAGCACCTGCCTTCTGATCCACCAGCCCATCCACCCCCTTATGGTGCACAAGGTTGACTCACTTTAAGATCTGCTTGCTCAAGCACTCTTCCCTAAAAAGGCTCTCACCAAGGCATTTCTAGTGTAAATGAAATCACAAGGCCAATGCCATTCTGGCATGCACACATCTTGGTCCTGGTTTCATGGGATACATTTCATCAAGGAACTATGTTCATATGCCCTACATTATGAATATCATCTTAGTCCCGGCCATCTGCTTGTCTCTATTTCATCAAAGAACTGTGTTCATATGCCCTACCTTATGAATATCAATTTAGTCCCGGCCGTTTGCTCGTCTTCTACATTTCCTTGGAAAGACATGACAAGTTGCCTTAGCCACGATGGTCTACAAAAAGAACATCTCGACCGGACATGCAACCCAAAAAATCGACCAGCACCTGAGGCTTCTCAATGCGTATTTTGTGTTTAGTAAGACTCACCAGCATTGACGAAATCCTCACTGATTTCCAAATCCCTTCCCATGCGGGCCGGACGATGTCTTATCCATCAACGGACGTTACAAATCGTGATCCATATGACGGCGCGGATGAGACAAAATGCTTGATTTGGTGTGTACGCCAAAGCTAAATTACAAATCATGTGGCCATGATGAACGGATCGTAAAGGCCTCGATGAGATGCGCATTATTAAAAAACACTCAGTTTGCATGGGAAATATTGACTGATTAGTTCGAAAGTTTACTTGAACATTATTTTGAATGCGAGTTAAACTAAATTTGGTGCTTTCCGAGGAAATGTCATTAGTCTCACCGCACACCATCACGCTGGTTTTGTATTTGACTGCATCGCGCTTTAGTTCGACCTCGTTTGCGATGATCATGAGGATGTGATCAAACAGCGCGATAACTTTCGGCGATAGCTTTGAGGAGTGTTGCAAGACAAACATGAAATATTTTTCGAATCTGTGCAATTCACCTTTTCCTTTACATATCCCGAAGCAAAATGACTGTTTTCATGCTCTAAAAACCCATGACCTAAGAGTATATTAGTAGTACCAGTTATTTAAATGCGGTGCAAAATTTCTGCCTGCTGTTCACCTTTACGACGGCAAGTTCTCGGTATGCCTATCCCAGACCGTCAATTATCCTCAAATTCTGCTATAAATCAAAGCTAGAACTGGTAGAAATGCCGCCTAGGTCACTTGACTACTAGTTCACGGCATGTTTTACACTAAATCAGTTGCGCCTGGGGTGACATCCAACATTTCACATCTTGTTTTGCCAAACAGTTATGTCGAACGTTAGATAATGTGATTTACGTTGACTGACAAGCATAGTAAGGAGATGCAGTTTGAACTTTGCAGCTACTAATCTCTGGTAACAGCACAGCTGGAAAATTTTCATGTCTCGTCATCAGTCATTACCGATCACCGACACCAATTTTTAAACGTGGCATTGCCCGGCGTATAAGTGCTCTGTCATCATCTGACAATCATACCATCGCTAATAATAATATACCCATCAGTGGAAATGTCATATTTAGACACGACATTCATCCACAATGAACAAAATTGGGAAATGATCTCTTGCACCTTGGCATAGGTACGAGAACAGATGGGCAGGACAAAACAAAGGGGAGAGGGCACAAGGGGCTCTCGATCCCAGCGGCGAATGCATGGATGCACAGGGGCACATGTCCCCCCCCCCTAACATCCCGTTTTGAGGGCCTGACGGGTCTGGTATGTAGGCCGGAGGTCGCACTCAGGGGCTCTGGCGCAGGGTCGAGCACTCCAATCCCAGCAAAAGCGCTTTTTGTTCTTGTTGTTTATTGGAGTTTAGGGGCGCGCCGACTGCGGTGGTCATTTGGCGCCCATAACGGGTCCTATTTTACCTATCTAATAAGCAGCATAAACGGTTCTAAAGTTGGTGTGTTTGAGAAATAGAAAGATCTGTTGAGCTCCAAGAAATTGTGAGTTGTCTCCTATCATATCACTGAGGGTAAGGGGCGAGTCATGCTGTCCAAAGCAACGTTGGCGTTCTTCCACGAGGCGCGGACAAGACACAAGGACATGAAGAACGGTGAGGACAGCGCTGCATCGATGGCAGATAGATTTATCAGCTCCCTCCAACAGATAGCCGTGGGTTGCGTATGTGTGTCCGATACGTAGTCTGCACAGAATCACCACTGACCCAGCTTAGGTTTGATCTCTTTAAGCTTATTACCTTCCAACTGATCCCAACAACGCTGCCACTTGTTATGCAGGAAGGTTTTTATTGCGGGATAAAAGTCTCTGGCAAGAATAGAAAGGGTGCAAACACATAGAGCCAGCGCTGCTCGTCTGGCAGCCGCGTCAGCCACCTCGTTGCCCGCGATTCCAACGTGACTAGGAACCCAACACACCAGCCAGAGCGCCCTTTGCGCCCATCGGGCCCCGTCTACATACCGGTCAGGCACCACCAAAAGCGCACAGTTGGCTTCGTGTCGGTATGGGCCTGAGGGCCCACTTCCAAGCGATGGCGATGCAGGGGCCAGCGATTTACACTGGTTGCGTCCACAAGGACCATTAGTTTTCCAACAGCTTTTGGAAACAGCTGATTCGCTATTGGACAGCACCATACATTCGCTCTCCAAACCAAGACCCATGTTAAATGCGTCTGATCGCATGCTTTTCTCCTCAAAGACCGTGATTGCGAGAAACATTTTATTCCCGTGGAGAATAAACGCAGCGTAATTCCAAAATCACAGCACCGGCCGCAGCAGCGAAGCTCACTATAAGACGTCACCTCGGTGACGGCGTAGACGAACGCCGTCATATGACGTCACACCGGCGAACATTACCGCCTGAAGTCACTCGCGCCAGACGTCGCACCAGCAACCAACTCCACGAAACTCGTCCCATGACGTCACTCTGACGTCACCGCGGCAGCCGTGTCGGCGAATGTCGCCAGCTGGACGTCGCGACGGCTGATGCCGCGCACGTCATGTGACGTCAGCGTGACGTCGACGCGGCCGTAGCAGTTGCTCCAATCCGGGTGGTGGTTGTGGCGCTCCGCCTCCTCCGCCACGCGCGACATGAACGCCCACGCCTGGCGGAAATTGGCGAAGCGGAACGTCTTCTGGATGGCGTCCTGCTGGGCCGACAGCGTCCAGCCCGTGCCTGCCGGCAGGTGACGAGGTGACCCACGGGAACGACCAATGGACGACGTCGAGGTGGCAGAATGTTCCATGAGGAGGGAAACCAAGCACTATAATGGCATGCGGCGGCGGGGGGGGGGGGGGGGGGGCGGGAGGCAAGGGAAGAAATGCCACGGCACGCTGGTGCGAAAGGTCGCAGGGATTACGCGACCGCGTACTTGCGTACCGTACACTTGCGTACCGTTTGCAGAATACGCACAACGGGCTGGGATGGTGTCTCTGCTGACAATAAACAACAAAGGACAACAGATGTGATGGTGACATGTACAGCAAACGGACCACGCAAAAAACAACATTTCAAATGCATCCTAAATGGGCAGGTGCCATGTGCGGCCAGCGGTGTATTCGGCCGCGCCACTCCTCCTGCCCGGCACGTACCGAGCAGCGGCGCCAGGGCGTCCCGCCTCTCCTCCTCAGTGAGCAGCGCCCGCCTGCCGGTCGGCCGGCCGCACAGCGGCGCCGCCAGGCCGAGCAGACGCCGGCCGACCACGCACGGCACGCCGGCCCGCACAGACACACCGGCCGCACACAGCATGGTCACCCAGCGGCAGGCGACGGCCGATCTGGAACCGGTCCGGTCAGGTCAGGTCAGGTCCTGGGCACGGCCAGACACGAGCACAAGCTCCGTTTACGCAGGGCATTAACCGGTTGACAGGTCCGCCGTCAAACAAGTCAAACCGCGGCGAACTGACGCGCAACACAACAGCGATTGAAGGCCGTAATTGCACCAGATATATCGTGCCACTTTAACATGTTTCCATTCATATCCGACCAATGGCACCACCATTCTGAGAGGCAAGGGAAGCATGCATGCTTGTTCAGAATTCAGGCCAGGTTATGGCATTCGCCACCTTCGCTGCCGGTCTCGCTGGCTCGACTTCCGACCCGGCCACGTCGCAGATCAGCCAGGAAAACCGCGTCTGAAACTCGCCGATGGCATGTGAACAACGGGTAAAACAACACGGTCCACCCGACAGCGCTGCGAAGTGCATCTTAGTCATTGATCAGTGTATGTAGTGTTTGGTCAGGAGCGTTGTGACAGCCTCCTGTCGTAGAAATTACGCTTTATTCAGGGAACATCACCACATTCGCAATTGGAGAACAGGCACAGACTTGGGACATGCTGTAGCTCGGCCACGTAAATGGGGCAATCCAGGGAATTTACTCCCGATAGATGTCTCTGCGTGCCAAGGCCTCTGGCCGGCCGGCGTCAGTTGGGCTATTCCAACGTGGAAAGCAGACGTCAGCCGCTGATTCGCGGGTCTGGGACTGATTATTCCAGCCGCGTTTTGTGTTATCAAGTTGCTAAATGTCCTCAAATCCGCATTGAGATGAAAGAAGATTAAGAAAATTGATGTGCTGGTAAACTAAAAAAAGAATTACGCTTAAGGAATGGCAGGAACGTTGGAAGAAAGACGGCGCTCGTGGAAAGGTAAGAATGAGAAATTATCGTGCCACAACCCACTTCACTAGGTAAGATTGGTAAACATTGGAAGAAGCGTTCTGAAATAAAGTTGCGATGCAGACAAACATTAGTTTTTGAAAAAAATTATCAGGTCATTAAGTGAACAATGGCTCCAAACAAATCAGGTGTAAGTGGATGAAGTAGCGGTACTAAGAAGTGACCTTCAAAACATGGGTAAATATGCTTTTCTTTCGTGGTAAATGATGCGTTGTCAAAGCCACATCCGTCTTCTATATATGCATTGCTTTGTCTGTAGCATGGAGTGACTCATCGGAGGTGGAGGATGGGCGGCTCCAAAGGGGGGGGGGGGGAGGAGGGTATAACGGGCGTCCCCCTGCTTGGAAAAAAACATGCATCAATAATTGTTAAGCGGCTCGCGCGCAACGGAAGTGACCACCGCGAGCGTAGCGGAGTCTTGGCTCGCTGCCAGAACGCTCGCGGCTATCTAGCACGCGCCCCGGCGTCAGCGTGAGCGTCGCAGCTGGTCGTGTAGCAAGCCTGGTCACTTCGCGGGGGCCTCCCCGGGAAAAGGCCTCAGGGGCGGCGTCTCAGCGCTAGCGCCAGCAACCGCGCAGTGAGTAGGCAGCTCCCAGTGTTGCAGATGGCAGTGGATGTACAGCCATGTAGATCCACGTGACATGTGTGTACAGCCAAGTACAGTCATACGATTTAGTCAGGGAGTCCTACCCGCCAATTCGGCCGCGGAAAACACCGGAAATTACCCGGTGTTCTCCGTACAAGCGAGCGACCGAAGCGCACAGGGAGATGACTACGGACACGCGGAATGCGAGCGTGCTGGCTTTCCTTCGCAGGTGACCGTGAATATAATTTGACTCTGAACACCACCGGCCGGCGACGGCGTGGCACCATCATCTCGGTCAAAACGGCGCCCCAGGCGAACCCACTCCACGATGAGTCGTCCCCCAACATTTGCAGTGCAGAAGAGTCATGCCGTAATATCATTGCAAACGAAGACCTGGAAAAGCGTAGGGCTAAATTACGTAATCCTCTTTTGCGAGCTCCCGCTGAGGTCGGTGGTGGAGCACCGGTTGGCCATGCCAAGCCAGCTCAGGAAAATGCTGAAAAGGCGACCAGCGCGCTGTCGTTGCCGAGCAGTGTCAATGTGGCTTGTTGCTGCATGTTTTTGTCGGTGGTGTGCCATTGTAGCGTAGGGCCCCAGTGTTGATGTTGCTGCTGCTGTTGCTCATCGTCACGGGCTCTACGACAATACTGACAAGACATGACATGACATGACATGACATGGCATGACATAGCATGACAAGACTGACATGGATATGTTGTAGCCATGGCCACCACAGCCACCACCTCGCGTCCCGGCACCGCAACCATGAAAAGTTGAAGACAACAAGTTTGAAAAGCGTTCCGCTCCGATCCCATGTTGTTAAGCCCATGACACGCCCGCATTGCTTGGTTATCACGTCACCAGCAAGCGTACCAGCAACGGTGGAAAAGACCTCTTCGGACCACCAGCGCCGTCTCCTGTGATCGGACAACGCCGCCGAATTTGATGACCGACCGCCTAAACACTGTTCAGGCGGTCGAGAACACCCCGGCTCTCGCCGAAATGTCCGAAGAGCACATCCTCGGCGAGTGTTCAGCGAAAGGCGCAACGGAGGTTTCGCGCCTGCCGTTGCGCCGCCCGGAACTCGGGTCTAACCCCATGCTACGAGTGCGTTTTCGGGGCACGGTCCTGCCGTACTACCTGCTGTGCGGGCATATGCGAATGCCCCTGCGCCCTTGGGTGCCCACCCCGAAGAATTGCGCGCACTGCCAGGCCTTCGGCCACAGCGCGCGCACCTGCCGCGCCCGCCGCCCGAGGGGTATGGGGTGGGGGTAGGGCACATACCCCGCCACCCGAAGTGCGGGGTATGTGCAGGTCGACACTTGGCGAGAGAATGCGAGGCCCGGGAGCCGGGCTGCGCCACACGCAGCGGTCCCCACCGGGCGTGGGACCGACGCGCGTGACCGGCGTGGCTTGAGCTGAGGGCCAAGCTAATGGAAAGGCAAAGACGGAGTGCTCCCCGCGAGTGGGGCCTGGCCCACGCCGGAGGAGGCGTATGCCCGACCCGCGCCCCTTTCCGGGGCGGCGAGGAGAGCGGGGGTTCAGTCAATCCCGACGGCTACCCAGCGCACGGAAGGCATCATGCGGCTCCAACGGGCGCCCCAGTGTGGCCCAAGGACCCCATGGCCCGCACCCCGGCCCGTCAAGCCTGGTTCCCGGCCCCTGAGGTTCGGTCCCCGGCCCCGGGACCAGGTCCCCGGCCCCGAGGCCAGGCCCCCGGCCCCTCAGGCCAGGCCCTTCGACCTTCAAGCCCAACTGACGCCTCTCCAGGGACCATGGCCGACCAGCGGCTCTCGCCGCGCGCGACCCGGAGCCGCGTCGGAGCCGGGGTCGTCGACATCTGGCTCCCCCGGTCCAGCGTAGGAACAGACCCTTCAGGGCCCAGCCGGACGGCCTCCCCGTCACCCGAGCGGGGAGCACAACCCCGCGGATCACCGGGGCAGCCCTCCCTCTCCCTGGTTCCCGGCAGACGGACCCGCACCGGGACCTTAAACACGCGCTCAGCCCCTCTGCATGGTCAGCAAGACGGCCTCGCCCACGCCCCTCCCCTTAAATGACCCCTGCATTCAATGAATTCGTACTGGAATTTTTTCGTAGGAAAAAATCGTGGAAAACCACGAATGCACTATCACCCTGAGAGTTTTACCGGGAATACACTGTAACACCGCACGTTTTTTCCGCGGAACAGCCTGCAATATCAAGTTGTTCCGAGAAAAAAACTGCAACACCGAAAGTTCTCCGGATGAACACACTGCAACATAGGAAGTTTTCCCGAGGAACACGCTGCAACACCGAACGTTTTTTCCGAGGCACAAATTGCAACACCAAAAGTTTGTCCAAAGAACACACTGCAACACCGAAAGATTTCCCCAGGAACACACTGCAACACAAGTTTTTTTCTGACAAACACACTGCAACACCGAAAGTTGTTTTCCGAAGAAAAAATTGCAACACCGAAAGTTTTCCGGAGGAGCACACTGCAACACCGAAAGTGTTCCATGGAACACACTGCAACAACGAAAGTTTTTCAGAGGAACAAACTGCAACACCGAACGTTTTTCCGAGGAACACACTGCGACGCCGAATCTTTTCCCAAGGAACATGCTGCAACACCGCAAGTTTTCCTAGGAACACAATGCAACACCGCAAGTTTTCCGCAGGAACACACTGCAGCACCGGAAGTTTTTCTGAGGAGCACACTGCACTACCAAAAGTTCTTTTCCGAGGAAAAAACTGCAACCCCGGAAGTTTTCTGGAGGAGCGCAATGTAACACTGAAAGTTTTCCCGAGGAACACACTGCAACAACGAAAGTTTTTTCCGAGGAACAAACTGCAACACCGCACGTTTTACCGAGGAACACATTGCAACGCTGAAGGTTTTCCCGAGGAACATGGTGCACCACCGCAAGTCTTTCCTAAGAACACACTGCAACGCCGCAAGTTTTCCCCAGGAACAATGCAACACCGGAAGTCTTCCCGAGAAACACGCTGCACCACGAAGCATTTTCCCAAACAATATGCCTCATTGTATGGTCAGTAACTCATGCCAAAAAATTGATGTCCTTTTTGCCCACTGTCCAAATTTCTCATCCACTGATTTGTAAAAAAAAAATGAGACAGCGCATTTAATTGTTAGCTTGCTATGAAACATCCTGTCGGGCATCTGCATGTCATGCTGTGAGGTCATGCTACATTCCCATCAGGAATGACATGACGACCCAACAGATAAGCATACAATTTTACACGGTTGGGCATATCCACGCTAACCACATTGGGCGCACTGTCAAGTTTCAAGTTTCACGTCAGGAGGAACGCTAACGAAGAGCGTGCTGGAATGTTTGTGCGCTGCAATAACTTGTTCACTTCGTCACGCCTCTTTTCTATGTTGATTATTAGCCGGATGTTAGTATCCTTAGTTGATCTGTGTAATCCACTCTGGCATACGGCGTTTCTGCTGCATCGTTAGGCAATCACGCGCGCACTTAGAATCGCGGACCGTAGACTGTTCTAGAGCGCCCCTAACCTGTGTCTGGAGGTCACCCGCCAACGCCCGGCGACCCAGCGGTAGATAAACTGACGCATAGTGCGTAGCGTCAGACGAACAGAGAGATAGGAGGCTCAGGCTAGCAAGAGACGAGATTCAGACGTGGTCCGACCATGAAGAGGGTCGCGACGCTGCATCACATCACAACGCCAGCGTAATGTGGCCGAATATAGACAACCTTTTGACGTCCATTCTTGAATGGACAATAGTGAGAAGAAGGGCACCAATCACGAGGGCGAAGGGCTACATTGGTGCCGTGACCCGGATCAAGAACAAGCGGATTCTCAACGCCGAACCGTCTTCTCGTTTTACAAGATACGGCTATCGAAGTTCAGGTTCCGGCCCGCGCGATCCATACGAGTTCCGGGATCACGGGAAAAGAGAAGATTATTTGGCCTTTCAGTACCTGTACTGGATGGAAGCTATCGCAAGACAGCTTCGCAACTGATCAATCATCTTCCTCGGACAAGCCGCCGATAAGCACGGAACGCGACGTAATTACACACGCCGACTTCCGGCCTTCCACCCTTTCCCTGCTTATGTCGGGAGCCCCATGTTCCTGCCCTAAGTAAGAGTTGGCGGTTGCCGTAGTTTTGGCGCGAAGACTTCCCGCGTTTCCCGTGCTTCGCCGGCGGCCCGCTACGCGGCGCCTCGTCCCCTCCGCAAGATGGCGTCGCCCGTCCTGGGGGGTTAGCCGGAGCTGACCGGTCGGGTTCTTTCCCTTCCGTACCCGCCTCCGGCCGTCATCGCCTGCCCCGTGGAGAGATGCCGGGCGTCGTATGCCGCCTCCTCCATGGCGACGCAGCGCGCCAGCCTCCGCCGACACCTGCGCGCGGGCCACGGCATCTCTGTCATCAACACGCCGTGGGTCTGCGCCGGGTGCCGGCAACAACTCACCGCGCGGCCTTCCCGGCATCGCTGCACGGTGCCGGTCCGGGCCCGGCGGGCGGCCGGCGGCGAACTGCCGCACGGCTGTCCGTGGTGCCGGGCCACCTTCACGACGCGGCGCGGGCTGCTAAACCACTGAGCCCGCTGCCCGCGTCGGCCCGACACCGAGCTGGCCCGGACCGTCGACATCGGGGTGCCGCAAGCCGGGACCCCACCGGAGGCGTTGCCGCAGCGGCCACCGGCTGCCGCCGGCTCGCCCACGGACTCACCGC